TTTTCTGCATATCATAGTTTTTTTTTTTTTATTGAGTTTTTGGTTGTTTGCGTTTTTTTTTTTTTTTTTTGCAGGGAGCTCCTTGCACGGCCTGCCCACCCGCGCGGCCCGACTGGTACCCTAATATATATATATATCGTCACATATACAACTGTCCGGTAAACCGGAGTCAGAGAGAGAGAGAAGAGGACAACAAACGAGGGGCTGTGACAATGACAAAATGTTTCGTCGGAGGTTCACCGACTCATCAGGAGGCTGATATATATATATATATGTATATATATATATATATATATATATATATATATATATATATATGAACAAGCATGAAAACAGGAACGGCGTACGGAACAAAGAAAAAAAAAAAAAAACACGGCAACACTGATGGCGGGACATAGATACGTTCCGAAACCGGGAAAAACAAGAACATAAAATGACAAACGAAAAATAAAAAATAAAAAGTTGACCAAAAAAACAAATTTAAAATTGCACATAAAATACAACATATGTTCAAATTTGTTGCCACAATGGCAGGCCACCGACAGGATTATGGATGGTTCCAAAATATAAAAAGAAAACAAAAAAACTAAAAAAAGATAGAAAAACAAAAAGGGAAAAAAAAAAAAAACTCCACGAAATCCGAAAAAAAAAACCATGTTATGCAGAGAAATAAACACAACAACTTTTGCCTCACGGTAACATCGAAATTCCTCACCAAGTTTACACTCAATACTGTATTCTACAAAACAACTTTTTACTTTTATTATTTAATTTCTTGTTTTTTTTTGCCCGCCCGGCCAAGTCAACCCGGGCCTCTCTGGTAGCCTACGCACATGCCCATTTCGTTCACCAACTCATATGTTTGCACATTCGGCTTTTCTCAATTCTATTCTGTTGGTTGTTTTTCATCTTTATTTTTTTTTTCACAGCCCACTGCAAACAAAAGTTTGCGGTCGCTTTTCTCCCCTTCTTTATCTGGTTTTGTCGATTTTTTTTATTTTTATTTTTCCTTCTGTAGTTATGATTTTTCTTTTTCCTTGCCTTTTTTTTGTTTGTCCTCCACACACTTTTTTTTTTTTTTTTCGTTTTTTTTTTTCTTTTTACATAATGACTGTTTTCATGTCTTCGGCATTGCCCCCTTCTTTCAGCTCTCGACTAGAGAACAGCGGCGAGAAGGCGGTAATACATATGTGGTCACCTTCTTCGTGCGGATATATATATATATATATATATATATATATATACAAGAGAAGACGACAACAAACGACGGGCTATATCATCACAAACAGAACTGCCCGGTAAACCGTACGCAGAGAGACATACAGAGAAGAGGACAACAAACAATGGGCTGTGACAAACTGTTCCGCAGGAGCACCGTTGTTTATTGTCATATTCTCCCTCTGTCGTTATAAGCCGAACAACGGAACGAAGAGCCAAAAAAAAAAGGAAAATAATTGCGAATACTAAAAAATTTACAACCACATTCACATTTGCCACCCATCGGAACTTTAGAATCCCGTTCACATAATCTTGACGAAAGGTGAAAAAAATCACAAATACAGAAAAATATTACAAATAAAATAATAGAACAATCGTCACGGAGATAATCATAACAAGGCGTCACCATTCTCGTTTGCATTACATGCGTGTAGTACGAAATATATACATTTTCAAAAAAAAAAAAAAAAAAAAAAAAGTTTGAAAAAGATTGCAAGAACGAATGGAATATATCCTTATTTCCGTTCACAAAGAACAGAACAACTTTTCGCCTCTTTACAAGCCACGTGTCACTCACGGCTGCCTTATCCGCCGTCACGATAGTACCGGGCACGTTTCTCCGTGCCCAACCAAGCCACCATCAACTTCATCGCCCTTTCGTGACTTTGTACACGAACGACGGCAAAAATACCAAAATACAATTAAAGTTCGACGAATTCTTTACTACTCTTTATCGAAGACGACATCCGAAAAAATATAATTCTTTTACAAAATGAAGTATTAAAATCCCGATAACCTACAAACTAAACCGCCTACAAAATTGCACCTCCAACGCCACCATCCCCTCCTTCCTCGTCTCCTCCATCCTCACCACCTCCCCCTTCCTCATCGCTGCCATCTGCACCCCCTCCCCCCTCCTCATCGCCACCATCTTCAACCCATCCCCCTTCGTCATCGTCGCCATCGTCACCCCCTCCGCCTTCGTCGTCGCTGGTGGGAGGCGACAACAGGTGACCGTTTGGCGGAGGCGGAAATGTCCATGCAGGGAAGTGCGAATACGTGGCAGATATTTCCGCCCAGCCGATCGGACCGCGCATCGGATCGCCCCCCCAACCACCATTTAGCGCGGGCAGACCTTGCGGAAGGTCCCCCCATCCCTCCGCATGATGCAAGGCTGTGTCCGCCGTTGATTGGCCAAACACGCCAGAGGCCGCTGATGGAGAGGTTGGGGAAGCGGGCGGTGGTACGGGATTCGTGACGGGAACGGGGTTCGCACCAATCCCCCCCCCGCCATGTGCACCTGACGAAGACGACGACGGCAATGAAGCCGTCGCAGGTGGGGACGTCGCGCTGCTTTTATCGGCCATCTCTCTCTCTCTCTCTCTCTCTCTCTCTCTCTCTCTCTCTCTCTCTCTCTCTCNGAAGAACAACTCTCTGTATTCGAAGAACAAGAACAAGATGACGAATCGAAACAAGAAGAAGAAGAACACGACGAAGCGAATGAAGGAGAAGAAAACGAACAAGAAAGAAGAACAAGGAGACCTACAACGAAGAAGAAGCGAAAGTAGAAGAAGAAAGACGACGAGGCGGAAGATGAACAAGTAAGACCAGCAAGAGAAGAAAGAAGAACAAAAAGATGAAGAAGAAAGGAGGAGGAAAACACCAAGAACGAAGAAGAAGAAGAAGAAGACGAAGAATGAAGAAGAAGTAGACCAAAAACGATGAAAAAGAAGAAGACAACCAAGAACAAAGAAGAATCTCTCTCTCTCTCTCTCTCTCTCTCTCTCTCTCTCTCTCTCTCTCTCTCTCTCTCTCTCTCTCTCTCTTCTCTCTACCCTCCGCGATGCGGACGCCCCGTACAGAACTCTTGACCAAGAAGTCTGTCTCTCTTCTTTCCGAACGGACGTACGAAACGTATATATAACAGACAGAGAGAGAGAGAGAGAGAGAGAGAGAGAGAGAGAGAGAGAGAGAGAGAGAGAGAGAGAGAGAGAGAGAGAGAGAGAGAGAGAGAGATCCACGGTGGCGGCGTCCGCTGCAGGCCATCGTGGAAGGGGGTATGCAGGGGTCGGGGTTGGAAGGGGGGCGTAGAAGGGGGAAAGGGGAGGTAGGAGGCGGTGGAAGATGGGGGGTCGAACACGCTGTCCAAGCGGTGTGCCCATCGGACTCACCGCGTGTAGCTGTCGCCGATGCCTGAGGCGACAGAGAGATAGACGCCTGTCGTCTAAGTCCAACCTCGTAAGACATCGACGATGGCGACAGCCATCGTTTTATGTCTGTCTGTCTTGCGCGCGCGCGCGCGCGCGCGCGCGCGAGAGAGAGAGAGAGAGAGAGAGAGAGAGAGAGAGAGAGAGAGAGAGAGAGAGCAACCGTTCATTACAGATATGCATGTCGTCGCGACATGCATATGTCTATGTCTACCACGATCCCGCAGGACGTCAACCAACCGCGACATGCGCCGCCACGTGCCACGTGTGTACTCAGACGCGCACGATGACCCGGTACCGTCGCGCCGCGTCTCGCTGTGTACTGCCTGTAGTGGAGAAGTGACGTGGCTTGCACGAAACGACCGCGTCGTATCAGCCGCGGTAAACCGTAGGCACGAAAAAACAATAATAATAAAAACAAAAAAACATTGCAGAAGGAAAGTGGAAACAATATGGAAATAAATGAATAAAATAATCTTAAAGAAAATAATACAACCAACTTCATTCCTCAAAAAATGTTTTCTTTTTCATTTCTTATTTCTTTTCGGTTGTCCGGATCCGTGAACACAGACATCGTGCAGGACGACGTCGTTCCTTACCACCGGGCCTACCGGGTCCCACATTCGAAACGGCACATCGGGATTGGACTCGGTAGGCCTCGAAAAACCGGTCGTCCGACCCAAAAACAGCGACCGCGCACTGCAGGTCGTCCGAGGGTTTTCGGCGGCGGGGGGACCTGTGGTTTAAATGATTGATTGATATAGAACACATCCATCACATACACCACATCACACATACAGCATAGTTACATTACACATACCTCACATTGTGGATTGTTTTACATACACAGTGATACTGTCTATCAGATGCATAGGATCAAAGAGATGCTGGATCTGATTTCCAGCAGACACTTTCACATCTTTGTACAGGGACACTGGACCCGATTTCAAGCAGAT